TTGTCAACTCTTTTCTTGCTTCTAGTCTAGTTTCAAGGTCTCTAGTTTTCTTGGCTTTTGGCAATAGCCATTCTAGTTTCTTTTTTAATATACATATTGAGTTATTTCTATTTTATCATCTTTCTTTGAAAAAAGTCTCATTTGTTTATTTGTTTTTATCAAGTTCTTATCCTTGAAACCTAGTCTATTTACCAATACAATATTTTTAATATTTTTATGTTTTTTTGAAAAAAATATAAAAAAAATAACACCATGAAAATCTTGTTTATTTCATTTTTATTTTAATAATCGTATAATTTAATCATAGATTTTTAACTTATAAAGAAAATTTTGAGGAATATTAAGTGATTAATAAATTTAAATAATGTTATTAGGATAAATTATCTACTTGGTTTGAATATAATAAAAATATCTTTGGTTATTCTTAGGTTAAATAAGTAAGCTCTTGAATATATTTACTTAAACAATTTATATATATATATATATATATATATATATATATTTGTAAATATTTTTTTAATGCTAAACTTTAATCTTTATCTTATTTTGATTTTCTTTTGTATTGATTTAGTTAAATTAGCTCTTTTTTTTTTTTTTTTTTTTTTTTTTTTTTTATTAAGCACATTGGATTCTGAAGCTTCAAGAACTAGAATTTAACTTAGGCATGCTTTACAGAAAACAATATTTTACCTCTCTCTTTGTGTATATATATATATATATATATGTGTGTGTGTATGTGTGTGTGTGTGTGTGTGTGTGTATGTATGTATGTATATATTTAAATTTTGTTGATCTTTTTATTAAAATATTATATTATTTTTAATTATTTTAATGATAAATTTTATTCTTACTTGTAGATGATATTTTTATAGTTAGGCTTGAATAATAATATTTTTGAAGAAGAATAATTTTTTTTTATAAAAGAACATTATTAGTAATATTTGAGACATTTAGAAGAAATTTATATTGCAAGATGATAAAATACTTTAACTTTCATATTAATCTTGTAAATCATTTAATATTCTTACAAAATACTATCCTATTTGATAGGGTTTCACTTAAAACCTATCAAATATGACTATAAATTTCATTCCATTTTTAATATTCCAATCCATTTCTTTTGGTATGACAACTTTTTATAATACATAATCTAGTAGTTGGCTATAAAAATGTCTAATTCTTGTATTTTCTTATTAGAATTTTTTTATTCTTAGAACAAGAAACACTACAATTAAATTTAATGATATTAATAAAAAAATCTTAATTTAATTACTTTAATAAGGTTATTTAATCTTTTATAATTTTGTTCCTGTTATTTTGACAGTTGAAAAACCACATACTTTATGAAGAATTTTGTTCTTAAGTATTGTTAGACTATAATAAATATTCTAATAATACTAATAATCATAATATAGATTTAAAACTATACTATTGTAATATTAGTTATTATTTTAGGTAAATTTTATAATTACACTTTTAAGCAATTCTATGGCATAATTACACTTATACATAAGATACTATTGCCATAAATATTTTTGGAGATCTAAATAGAAATAGTGAATAAACTAATACTTTATTATGTATCTTTTTTGCAGTCGTAATATATGTAACAAAAAATTTAGGATATCAAGTTATGTTGTAATTGATGTATAATCAATTATTTATTTATTTTGATATATTTAAAAAATAATAGATTTTATTATCTAATAAAAAAATATTATAAAAAAGAGCAATAAGTTTGGTACAATAAAAATGTTTGAGAAATTTATTGCATAAAAAAAAAGTGAAATTGTTTAGGACTATATATAGTTCTTTTTAATAAGATTTTAAAACAAAAATATTTTAAATAAAAGTAGTTGGATGTATAAGTATTTTTAAAAAGTACTCACACTAAAGTTTATCAGTAATAAAATGCATAAATTTTATCATAATAATAATAATAATAATAATGATTTATCATTTTATATTGAGATTATATTTGATTTTATTGAATTTTTTACTTCAAATTAGGATGTACTTAAGAAAATCCATATACATAAAACTTTATTCTATTTCAATTTATGTATATTACTTTAATTTACTAATTGAATAATGTCATATAAGTAAGTATCCCAAATTTCTGAATTTGGTATTTCTTAATAATAAATTCAAATATATACATATATATATATATATAAACAAGTTCATTGAATTTTTTTAAATCATGACTACAATCATATATATAAAAAAAGGACAAGTATGATGAATTATACATGGTGCTGGTGGATGTTGATTTTGTCATTTAATGCAATGCCAAACTAATTAAATTTTAATTTAGAATCTCAGAGGTGCTCAAAAGAAGGTGAAAAATATCTTGAATTTTATGAGATGTATGTATATGTATATGTATATATATAGAATGAAATGTTGAATTTTAAAGTTTGTGTTTATATTTTAGCATTAAAGTTTGTGATTGTGTCTTTGTGTGGAATTGTATTCAAAATATATTAAAAAGTTTTATGTATTTCACATGATAAGCCCAATAAATGTATTTATGTGTATATATTTATGTGTTTAATAATTGATATCTAGAATGAATACAAGGTCATGATTACATTACGTTTAAATTTAATGAATAATTGTAATGAATAATTGTTAAAAGAAAATATTATTAATTATGCCAAAATTCTGATTTAATGAATAATTGTAAAAACAAATTATCTAGAATGAATACAAGGTCGTGATTACATTATTATGATAAAAGTATGATGCTTGGTGGTTCTCATAAATATCATTTTTTATAAAAATAATCAAGGTTTAAATTAATACATCATTCAATTAAAATTTTAATTATTGTAAACTTACATTTTAAGATTCTGACATAAGGATTGAATGCTTATTTATGTACTTAATTAGTAAAATATAATTCTTGAAAATGATTTATTTGTTTAAATATAGTGAATTCATACATTTTTTATACATTCTTGACTGCACTTCAAGGTTATAAGTCTCAAAACATTTTCAAATTGTTCTTATAATTAAAAATGTATGATGAATATTATGAGAATAGACCAAAAGCAATTTATATACACAAAGAGTAGCTTTGTTGAATGTGATGAACATGGGGACTGCTCTTGTGGTTTGTAGGGGAATAGTATATTAGTATAGAAAATCTTAGAAATACTAATTATTAAATTTTATATATATATATATATAATTTGGACCCCACATTGTGAATGGAGATGTGAGCAAGGAATCCTTGTCAAGTGAATATCTCATGGCGCCTACAAAGGACGGAGAACCTACAAAAGGTTGGAGCACGTTTGATTCAAACCCATACAAAGCACAAGACTTGTGGGCAAAGTACAATGAGGGAGAGGTTCTGCCCTTGGGAAAGAGAGAAATACACTCTTGTACCCATAGAAGAAAGTAACCAATTGAATTTTTTATCATTATAGTAATAAAATGAAAAATATGTGCATAACTCAAAACACCTTTACAAGTGGTTTCATGGAAATTGTGTCCTAAAAGTTTACAAAAAATGATTGAACAGGTCGGGTAGGTATTGATTTGGGTATTTTATTATTTGGTGTGTCTTTTCACTTTAATGAAAAATTTGTTTCAATGTAAATCACAATAAGGTGATAAGCTCCATTGAGGTAATGCATGGTAGGTTGACTAGGAGTACAGACATCTAAGAAGGTGAAACCTTTGCATCGTGTGAAACATCATTTATAAATATTAACTGGCTTCTTCAATGTGTGTATGTGTGTGTGTTTTATTTCTTTCAAAATATTAAAATAATAAAGATGTTGAAATTCGGTTGCTAAATCATCAATTGTTGCGAAATATTTTTCACTACGAATTTATCGTGTTGAAGATAAAAATTGCAATAGAAGACTATAAAACTATAATCGTGTTGAAGATAAAGATTGAAGAAAATCAATAGAAGACTATAAAACTATAATATATAATTTGTTAAAATCTATTATTATTTTATAATTACTTTACACTTCATTTTTACATTTATTTCCTCACACACAGAACTGTAAATTTTTTACTTTGTATTTTTAAAAACAACTGAACTAAAACAAACTTCTAGATAATTGTGGTGGAAGCTTCTAAAAACTTCTTGTACAAGTTTGACCAGAATTGAAGTTCAAGTTTTTTAAGAAGCAGCTTGTAAGTCCATTAAATATTTTAATAACATTCTTAAGAAACTAACGAGATCCATTAATACCATGAATGCTCTAGAGCACAAAAACATAAAATATCACAACAATCTTTGTAATTCTTTTATAGTAGAATCCCAAATCTACATTCTTCTACCTAAATGCTATCATACCGATCGGAATTGATTGTTGATATAAAATCATACTTTGTTATTGGTTGGCATTGATTGATTGATTTATTCACTCAAAATATTACATCCTTTAAAAGAAAAGTAATAATTTTACTTGCATGCAACATCAAGCACTAGTATAGCTAAGAATACTAGATAAAATAACACCTTATTATAATAATAAAAATAACCCATATCACATCTCATTTGCATATGAAGATCTATTGTGTTATTCAAATATGTTAATCACAATGCTACAAAAAAATGTTCTAATTGTTCTCAAACCAAAATTTGGAATTAAAAAAGCATAAGATAAAAACACTCTATTTGTAGAAATAGACAAAAAAGTTAAAGCGATGATGTTGCCATCCAATCTTGTGAGCTTTAGAGTGGCCAACAACCCAAAAAGTGGAAAGTTTGATGTTTTCTCCAACCTAACCTTTTTTATTTCCCGTCAATTGTAGCTTTTTTGTGGTAACGGTGCGGAATATGCTAAAAATATCACACTGGACGAAAGAACGATTATCGGCAACGCCGACGAAAAAAGGCGATCTTCGTCGAGTTCATGATTGCATGGCACACGACGTCGTGGATGAATGAAGAAACGGAAACGGATGAACAATGACGGGACGCGGGAACTCGTTGCACGTAATTCTACTTCGCTGAACATGCAGTGAGTGTGTATAATTGTGTGTGTGTGATTGTGTATGTGTGTAACGGTGCTCAGATTTCGACGTTTCTGCCTTCGTCACCCGCCGATGATGCTTCGCTGAGAATCTTCGTGATCCGACGTTGCTGCTCTGGCAGCAGCATCGTTGATCAATCTCCCTTTTCGCAGTGATAAATTTGAGCTCTCGTGCGGCGGAGTTGTTTGTGCGAGAGGGGAGCAACTGGATCCAGGATAGGAGCAGTTCGGACGACGTGGAGCGAAGAGGGAGTAGATTGCAGAGGAGATTGTAGTCTGGTGTGAGCTCGAAGGGAGAGAGATAGAGGAGGAAGGGGTTGAGGCGAGAGCCGAGCTCAATGGCGGTCGCTTGTAGTGGTATCGGAGCTGGAATTGGTGCTCTAGTGTCACCTGCGAACACCAATTCTCTGTCGAGGCGTTCATGCTGGACGTGCACGCCTGCGATCTGCTCTTTGGCTGCCGTCTTCAAGAGAGCATCGTCGCCTTTGTCGTCGTTGATCGGGGAAGAGCGGAGTTGGACGGATGAGCGTCGTCGTTTTGCATGTTGCAGGTCAGCCGTCGTTAATGGTTGCAACGCTTTATCAGGAGTATTGACACATTAGTTGATTCGAATGTTCTGCTTTGCAAATAAGCGCATGTATATATATATATATATATATATATATATAATCTGATTGTACTAGAAAGAAACAGCGTCTCAAAATCTTATGGCTTATTTTGTGCCTGTGATTGTCTCCTACTAGTGTATTTGTTCGACAATAGAGTATTAGTGAACTTATGTTGCTACGTGGAATGATGAATGTGTTAGAGAATGAGAAATCTCACTGGAATAGTGCTTGCAGAATGGTGTGCTGCGCGTCCAATGATTCTGCAGGTGCTGTGACCTCTATGGAATCTATGGTAAGGGCAACGAATGATTCGATCGCATTACACCAGCTCTTATCTGTTCGTGTTTAACATCGCTACAGCATTCCAACAAGGTCTTTGCTAGTTACTGCATAGTCGTCTGCTGTGGTCTTCATGCATCCACCAATCATGCTCATCTTTGGATTTTTGAGGAAGAATTATCACGTCGTTTCATGATTAGTCCATGAAGACATCGTTGCAGCGACAACTATTCCGGGCTTTAAAGGACGACTGTTGGTTTTCAGGCTAGTGAAGAGGAACCAAAGCCAATCGTGCTGATCGATCAGGAGTCGGATTCAGAGGCCACAATTGTGGAGATTAGCTTTGGGGACAGGCTCGGTGCTCTTCTCGACACGGTTGGCAATCAATTCCAGAACCTTTATTTTTCCCCCCATTTGGAATTGAGTAAAATGGATCTGAAGTCCTCTTCATGTCCTGCATTATCCTGATGCGAGAATAATTTAGTTATATTGCCTTGCTCTTTGTTGGAGATTTAAAAAATTGCCCTCATTTCATCGCTACTTCTCTTACTTTTCGTCTGTGATCATATTGGATCTCTTGTTTGTGCGCAGATAAAGGCCCTCAAGGACCTGGGACTTAATGTTATTAGGGGAGTTGTCACTACGGAGGGTTCTAGGTTGCGGCGCAAAAAGTTTCTAGTTACTCGATCGTCTGTTCAGCAATGCCCTCCTTTTCTTCATGGTTAATAGTATGCTAGGATTTGCACTTGTATTCCTCAGAACTCTTTCTCAGGGCTCTGCGATTTCGGATCTTGCCTTTGAAAGGGTGACTAGTTTGAATCCGGATGTTCCAGAGTGTTACGGATCGTTCGCACACATCTCCCCTGTCAATTTAATCATGCAGCACATATTTCTGGCAGGGCTAACAATAAAAAAGTGGAGGACCCGGAATTGCTGGAAGCCATACGGCTTACCATCATTAACAATCTGCTTCAGTACCATCCTGTACGAATTTCCTAAAATTTTCTTCTGTTGTTTTCTGGGTACCCACTCCTTCTCCTATATCAGCTTCGTGCTGAGTTTTGGGGACATAATTTGTATTAATGAAGCCACACAATCTTTTTCCCTATTTTAAGTCGTCGGTTATATAGTTCAGTACTTGTCCTGCTTCTTTCTATTTTTACTCAATAAAAGTTTTATTAGATCGAGTATAAAGATATTTGAGCCCGCGAAGTCGAAAGAGAGGGGGCGTTACACCTAAAAGTACTGCAAGAACTTTTTATTGCTTTAATGAAGCGCCAGAAGTGTTTTAGAGTCAGAAGTACTTGCAACGTTAGAGGCGATGATTTTTATTTGGTATTTATTGGAGACTGCAGGAATCGAGTGAGCAGTTGGCCATGGGGGTTGCTTTTAGCGATACCCCACCAAAGAATCAGGTTGTCCTTACTGACAAATTCTTGTAACGCATATTGGTGTCAGGAATCATCATGCGTCTCGTTCAGAGAGAAATTAGGATACGTGTCTTCGCCTTCTCAGCATGTGATGGGGCTGGAGTTCATTTCCATCAAAAGTTTAGAAATTTTGTTGTTATTACCCTTCGTTATCAGCTCATCTGCAGGAATCTTGTTTTTGTTAGTGATGATTGATGAAGGAAGCTAACGCAGAGCTAGGAACTGATACCAGCAATGCTGCATCATTGCTTTTAGCCCAGTAGATCATTGTTTTCGACATTGTTGGAGTAAATGATCGAGGTTTTTATGCAGATTGATGTGGATGTGGCTACTCATGTCACGGTTACAAGGGAAGGTTCTCGAAGGTATCGCCAGTACTCTTGCAGACTTTGCATGTTAACATTTCCTGATTTTATTTATTTATTTACTTATTTATTTTTGCTTTGTGATCTACAGGTCTTGAGTGTAGTGTTTGATTTATGCATGTTTAACACCTGATTCTAACTAGGAAGTCACTGCTTGTCTGTTAACTTTGAAAATGGTGATTTGCACAATTGGGACATGCAGTCTTTTGTTAGTGGAGACCGCAGATAGGCCAGGATTGCTGCTGGAAATTCTGAAGGTCATTTGCGACATCAGCATTTTTGTGGAGTCGGCAGAGATTGATACCGAGGTATATTTTCTAGAGAGTTTTTGTCACCTCATACCACGATTTGGATCTTCTTTGAGCTGCATTGCATGAATACCCTTTGTATGACTGCCTTTCTGCTTATCAATTTGCAAGTGTTTGATGTGGAGAATGGAATTGAATGGCAGGGATTAATTGCGAAGGATAAGTTCTATGTGACCTATCATGGAGATGTCTTAAGCAAATCTATGGAGGAGGTGACTTGTTCTTCCCTGATGACACAGGGCTTCATTCTGGATCATGGTTTGAATTTTTCCTTGATTTGTTGACCACAACTTATTGCGTGTACTCTGTGTGATCGTAACGTGGAAGTTGATGTGTTAATCTACTGTTAGTTTATGTGGTACTGAGTCAACTGTTTTTTTTTAAATCTCAGGTTTTGACGAATGCTCTTCGCTACTATCTGCGGAGACCCGAGACCGAGGAGGACAGTTATTGAGCTCGTTCTGCAGGTGGATTGTAACTATGAGCACATTTATTAACTTGAACAATATGTTAGACTGCAACTGCAATACAGAAGACTGACCATCTCTCGGCTTTTGCATAGGGCCTGGCAGGGTGTGGACTAGTAGCAACCGACTATAGTGAGGATTAAAGATTAGACTTCTGTTCAGTTTTAACACTTTTTGCTAAATGATATATAGACCTAGTGTGTAAATTTGTGTGTATCTTAAACACAGAAACATTTTGCTAGATTTGTCCAGTCAAATGGGTTGAACTCTTGAGTTCAGTTTTGCCTACTCTTGTGGGTGTTCATGCTGTATTTTTACCAGTGAAAGTCATAAAAAGTTCGCAGTTCAATTCATGATAGTTGTTTATAGTCTCACAGAAGTATTGTTTTGACCCAGCTAATATAATCGACAATGTTAATAAAAACGCCTCATGAAAAGCTGTCAAGGACGTGGCAAAAACCACAATAGTAAATTTCCATTCCAATAACTAATGACAATGTAGACAATTTGTAGTGAGGAAAATGCGAAATTTAAATGAATAATCAGCAAATGGAAAATGTGAGTAAATCAATTTAAACTAAAACACTGAAATATTTTACTTTTCACTTTTTTATAGATTGTGCTTCATTCAAAGCACTTAACAGTGCCGAAGAATAATTATTTTTGATGACGTCAGTTTTAGACACTGTAAATTTAATTATGATATATACAGTAGATTCTTTTTCTCAAATATATAATGCGGCTAAAAATATAAATTTCTCTTATTAAAAAAGCAATAGATAAGCATCCTATTTTTAGTAATAAGTGGTTTATTAGAATTACACAAGCATTAAAAATATTATTTAAGAATGATTATTAAAGAAACCTTTTAATATTGTTATATGTTTGAGAATTCTTAATATTAAAATTTTACTTTTCAAAATTAAACAATTAAGATTTCAATCACTCTCTTGATTGTAGAATTTAGTTACTATAACATCATTTATGCCAACATGCCATTTGAACTAGTCTAAAATTCAAAATCCAATCACTAATCTAATGGATTTATTTTTTTATTTTTTTATTTAATTATAAAATTTTAAAAACTAATTTTTTAATATAAGAATAAATTTTAACTATGAAACATAAAAAATATTAAATATTAAAAATTATTAGTTTACTATTAAAAGATTGAATAATATAAATAAGTAAGGTTTTTATTTTTTACTATTAAATTTAGAGTTGCTAAAATAACTTAGATAATCAAAGATTCTAGCTAAAATTAGTCTAAAATCAATTTACAACTTCATATAAGCTATAGAAGTTAATAACTTAAAAATGATCTTCTACAATAATGATGGACATTTTAACTACGAATGTAATTTCATTTGGAAGTATAATTGTGCTTCTTTTAATAATTAAATTAAAATAATAATCAATAATTTCTTAGAGTTGTTTAAACAAAGATATAGTCCTTTAATTATATCATATTTTAATATACTCTACTTTTTAAAAATAAATTACTATTTTTTATTTTAAAAATAATAATAAATATTTGTAAAATGGTAGATTCTCTAATATATTTTTTTGGTTTCAAAAGTTTTATAAAAAAATAATAATAACTAAAATAACAAATTTCTTTGTTTTATATTTAATATAACCTTTTGCAAAATATAAGATGTGATTATTATTATCTTCTAAATCAAAAGATTATACATTAATTTTATTATTTATTCTTTTATTTAATAGATTCATCAATATTATTTATTTCAAGTTTGGAAACCATATTTGTACTTGTAGAATTTATGGTTTTATTTAATCTCAATTTCTTTTTGCTCAAATGTTATTTTTTTCTGAAAATAAAAAATAAATAAAAAATAAATAAAAAAATGTACTAAGATTATATTTCTATTTTTAAAAGAATAGAAAAAAATTATCCAATTTTTTATATCTTTTTATAAAAGATTTTATATTAAAGTTTTAAAAAAGTCTTTTCTAATATTTCTTCTATTAGTTTACTTTCTTTTCTTTTCTTTTTTCTTGTTTCTTAATCTTCTATATTATTCTTATATTCTTCAATATTTCTAATGTTATTTAAAATTAAACAAAATATCATACATTTTAAACTTGTATGTTTAGTATTATATTATATTTTATAATACTCTACTATAGCACTATTATACTAATTGAGCTAAAACATATAAATGAATGAAAATTTAATACTCTTATACACCACATTATTTGACATGTTTACAAAAAATAAATGAATAATCTATAACATAAGTCAAAATACATACAAAGATTTAGGTCTAAAAAAAATTCAAAAGTTCATATTTTTATTCTTTTTTACAAACCATGGTTCCAAAATATATTTATTACAAATACACTAAGTTTTTTAAAGGCTTGGAATGCAAATACTTCTACTTCTTTGTTTGAAACAAAACTATGTAGCTTTTTATTATCCATGTATAAGTAATAAGTATTAATGATATTTTTAAGATGACACAAGGATTAAGATACATATGTATTTTTTTTTAATGACCATCATATAAAATCACTTAACTAATTCTTTGATGTATTCCAATAAGACTTGGTATAGTTGTAGGTTTTTACAAAAAAAGACTTTAAACTCCAACTAACAAAAGATCAAGTGCATATATATATATATATATATATATATATATATATATATATAATTAATGTAAGTAAAAAAAATCAAAAATTAAAAATGAAATATATAATCATCATTTTATAACTTCTAAAATTTAAATTTTATTATATAAAATTAAACAAAACCTCTTATAATTTAATCTTTAGTAATTATAAATATTATAAAGATCTAAAATTATTTTTATTCTTTTATTAAAAGAATATATGTAATTCTTTCATAACTAATGTTATTTTTTTATTATTGGTATAACTTGCAACAAAGTGAGATTCTTAACTTTAATAGGATTTTTACACAAAAGACAACACAAAAAAATTATTTAAAAATAACCTTGGTATTTTAATTGGACCAAGAAAACAAAACAAAACAAAATGAAAACATCAATTTCAAATAAAATACTAAAAAAATAAAAAGTAAAACAGGAATAAAAATTCATAAAAAATACATGAAGTGGAAATAAGAAGAAAAAAGAAAATAAGGTTTTGAGTAAAAATCTGCAATAAATAATATTTAGAGTAGAATTTTATAATTTTTTGGAGAAGAATGCTCTCTTTCTAACTCAATTCAATAGAACAACGTGCATAGTTTCTTTCTATGCAATTCAATTTTTACTTAAATTATAATTAATTAGATATTTAATTTTTAAAAATAAAATAAAAATAGATATGTGTAAATTTTACATCTAATATACCCAATCTTAGCCAATCTCAAGTGGATAGTCCTAAGGAGAAAAAAAAATCAAAAAAGCAACAAATCAAAAGATATAGGTTAAAGTAAAAATACCTTGAAATGGACTTTTTACATTGAAGATGCCTACTATCCATTGTTAGCCAATATTTGACTATGTAAAAGTAGATAAGACATCCTATCTACATATTTAAATCTTTTCTTGTTAAATTTATAATTTAACTATGTCATAAATTAAAATAAGATAATATTATCAAAATTAGTTATTAAATGTTTGCTTGGAAGAAACTACTTCCAAAACCATCTTTCTTAGATAAATATTACCTTATGGATTATTATCCATAGAGTAATATTTAAACACATGATTGTATACCTCTATATTATCCTATAAGTGGAAAAGAAAAAAACCTTTTTTGCATATTTATTTCAATTTTTTAAAAATAAATCAATGCCATAGAAATTTTAACATAGATTCTAAGCAAGATTCTTGTTTTCAAAGAGGTCTTGAATTTAAACTTGAACTCATCATCTTTACTTTAACTTTGAGTATTACATTGAATGATTTATAATACTCTACTATGGCACTATTATATTTACTTTTTCTTTGTTATTGTCTACCACATGAATGCTATATTGTATTGAGGTAATATATTTTCATTTGGACTCATCACCTTCATTACCTTCAAACTACTAAGATAAGCAAACATAACAAGGGAAATTTTAAACATGCCCAAATTCTTGATTTAGATAAACATGTATTGTAAAATTTCATCCTCCACAGGTATCAACCTAAGGATGGTTTATAATTGGCCTTATATGGTCAATATATACTTTGAAATAAAATTTTATGCCAAGACAAACTTCCACCTTGAAGTATCATTTCATGACATTGAACTTCTCAATTGCATCTTTGTGTGCCAATCTTTGCTATTGCGATCTGTAAATTAGTATATCCGATGTGGGGAAGGAAATTGAATGACGGGCCAGTCACAAATGCTAGTGTGACCTACCGCAGAGTTTTTCAGAATCAGAAATCATGAAGACTTGTGCTCATATCTACTGTAGCTCAATTTCAACCTGATTCTACACACTCACTTTCTGGAAATGTGCGGTACGAATCCAGAAAAGTAAGTGTGTAGAATCAGAAACTGCGTGATATGAATGCCAATACTAAACTTTTTTTGGTGATCAGCAAGGAGATCTTGATGACTAAGTTAGAATCACTCGGAACGCGCCATTAAGTCAGTATTCCAATCTAGTCGTGTTAGATTGCAACAGGGGCACACTATCACAACCCCTCATTTTGGAGCATTTCCAATGTTGACAGCCCCTAAAGGACAGTGTGAAGCCAGGGGTTAAAAAAAAAGCTTCTGAATGCAATGTTTAATTTACAGTTGAGATGGGAGCATGCACCCCATCTTATGAATAATGGATTGTCTGCTCAGTCACCGGAATGCAAGATTTCTGCCAAGTTAGCAAAAACAATCGTTGAAGCGAAGAATATCATTCCCTTCAGGTCTCGTCGAGGAAGGCGGCTTTCTCAATCACCATCTACTGGAATGTAATCTCCTTTCCTAGGCGAGCCACGCGACAACAGCTGACCCGCTCGATCTAACAAAATTTCAGCCATCAAGCCCCGGGACGGCGTCCGCGTCACCTTGGGTGAGTCTACGGAGATTGAAGGTGGCGACAGGGGCGGCCGCTGGCACTCGCTTCCGTCTGGCGCGTGGATGTAAGGTCCAAGCTTCAGCGGGTTCAGCCCAAACATATCGTCTCGTGTAGGATCCCCTACCGCAGCCCACCACAAGTCTTGGTGGTGGTAGACCGGGGATCGCCCCCCGGACGATGGCAGGATGAAGACGTCTCCACCCTGGTGCCGCAGCTTAGTCCACAGGGAAAATGTAATGAGCATAAGCAGGAGAAAGACGGCGATCAGGAGAGTGGTGGTGAAATGCATATGCCACCATGAGCCCATCGTGCCGTCACCTGTACAGACCTCCTCTCCATCCCCTTCAGTGCCGCTGAAGAGTGTGCGATCGGAACAGTCGAGCCTTGCACCGCACGCGATATTGTAGGACTCGCATGCGGAGTGACAGACGCGCAGCCGGTTGTCCCCGTCTGTGTCACAGCGTTGGATTGAAATCTGCGAGAGAAACTGATTTTGTCAGAATTTGGAGTAAAAAATGGTTTTGGATTTGATTGATTGTGTTCCCTTTACAAGAAATGGGATGAGTAGTCACGGTGACGAGGAGCACTCACCCAGCAAGCAAGGCGTTTGGCCGCTGTGGCGCAGTAGCCGTTGTCAAACATCCTAAAGAAAGGGCGACCACTTGGGACAAGGCGGTTGTAATTAGGCATCACCACTGCTGCCTCCAGCTGCTGCAGAATTGAGGATTCGCTCGGGGCGCAGTGTTGCCCTTGGGGCTCACCGACTAGCACGTTCCCGCACAGTTCAAGGCTGGAAATGAGATTGCTACTGTTTTGGCAGGTGTAGCCTGCGTAGTCTGAGCAACGAAATTCGCACACTCCGTTGTCACAGACGCCTCCGTGTAGACTGCATTGCTCGTCACATCCGGCGGTGGAACAGTCCACACCAGTGTAACCTGCTTCGCATTCACACAATCCGTTCTCTGTACACATCCCGAGGCCACTGCATCCTCCTGGACAAACGCCTGTGTGTAAAAGGGGCAACAAAGTTCAGAAATGTTTTACGTTTCACTTCTGCATATGATTATACATTCAATACTACGAATCTTTTCTCCGGTTGACAGATGGCAGATTAAGAAGCTTTGGAACAGACAAATTTCAATCTCAAGGATTACGTACGTTCGCGACAGTCGTCACCACCGAAACCGAAGAAACAGTGGCATTTTCCCTCGATACACTCCCCATTGCCGTGACAATTCTGGTTGCATTGCCCAGATATTGACAAAGGCGAGTCATCGCAAAGCTCATGGTACATAGGACATTCCAAGTGTCCTGCACAAGTACACGTAGACATGTCAAAATCGGTGGTTAAGGAATCAGAAATAAGAATTTTACCATCCAAGGAAAAGGTCGAAAATATTTCAATCTGTATGAAGCGGAGGGGAGGAGTATAATAAAGATGCATACCATTGAAACCTGGAAACTTCAGCCGTCCACCTTCTCGTGGACAAGTCTTCCATACTCCATCCACGGCAACTTCAAGAACATCATTTGCACATCGATGCAGATAACATCCATTTCCCTGCGTCATAGAGCCACGCACAAACCCAGAGCGCACTAGAGAAGATGTCATGCACCTGCAACAAGCCATTTACGGCATCACAGTTAGACAATGTACGCACAGAACTTGCTTGAAAAACTCCAGCGAAATTTTTAAAAACATCTAATGAACTTTCGTAGTCCAAAGATAGCCAACTAACCTTGAATCCTGGCCTCGAGATTCACCGAGCATTATATCTGGAGCCCGGGCACTATTTGTATCTATACAGGACCCATCAGAGTAAGCCACAAAGTATGCACAGTAATCTGCCAACGAAGATTGGCCTCCTGCATCCCACAAACCTCTCAAAGTCAAAATTTTGATAACAAAACCAATGTATGAGTGTTGAATTTCAAAAGATTACATTAAAGATAACGAATTGACGAACGGAAAGGTACCTTTATTAGCCTCAGGAAAGTAACGCGCCCACGTAGGCAAGTCGCCATTGTACTTCACAATAGGACAGTAACCCTCAGCCTCACGATTATAAGTACAACCAGACGGGGTGGTGCTGTTGCAGCGGTAGGCTCCATTCCAAGCGTCGCATCTTGAGAAGAGAAAATCATCGCCCTGATTTCTACCCCAGTCCAGCTGCTCTGCCATGCTATAGTTTGCTTTATACCATCCGCTGTCTTCCAGCAATGCCAGTGTCATGGCCGACACGACCGATCTTGTGTCCACTGACCCCGTCATTATTTCATTCATCAGCAACCGCTTCTCCCAATGCGACCCTGCCGTCCCTCTTCCTCCACCGTCTTCCAGTTCCAATCCGCTAAAATCCTTGGAGTACGCCTGTCATCAGTCACAGCATTCATAAGTAAGAAGGGAAAGAACGTTCAAGGACAGTCAGGACATTCCTTCTCAGCTTCTAAAGCTTCAAAATTTGAATGCATTTGCAAGAGATCGATAGATACCCCATAGTGCTGCCGTGAATGCATTATCACCCTGGGCAATACGACCCGTGTCACCATTCGCCCCAAGTTCGAGTCAAATTCTTGCGTTACTACCTTACTGCGTCTCCGCTTGCGCTCATCCCGAAAGTGAGCGAAGGCATGCGGATCAAATCCTAACACATGCACGACCTCATGAATGAGAGTGGCGGACAGAAGAGTTTCAGCTTCGGCAGTCAAATGCCGCGGAGCGACATTCACATGCCCTGCAATGGCGCGGCCCCACTGGTCTCGCTCACAGGCTACAGCCCATGCCAGGGTGTTGCCTGTAGTGGGTCTCGTTGTAACCAACAACACAAGATCGGCATTCTCGATACCCTCTGCAATTCAATCCGGAATAGCACTCTTAGCTAATTGATTGCAGGTAATAAACTTCAACTGAAAGGAATCAGACCGAAAGGAAAGACACTCACCATCAACGTATTGACGAGGAAGCTGGACACCTCCATCTTGACCACAAGCAGAGTATCCACTGAGACGTAATGGCCCCTTGATTCGTTCCACAGACAGGGCTCTTCTAAACCATGCCGCTGTCTCTCCTAACGCCTCGTGCAAGCGGTTCTTCTTGTCCTCTCCAGTAATGTCGTCCGATGTACAGTTGTACCAGCAGTCTCCGTATATAGGTGGTTCAACGCGGGAGTTGCACGCTGGAAATCCAGGTATGCTGCTAGAAGTGGGCTCCCCGAGCTGAAAACAAATACCGATTCATTATCAAACCGTTACCAGATAAAGACACTAAACTGATGATGCTCAATTAGATAAAATGTCAAGTTCATCGAGATATTATAAATGAACTATGAGAGAGATCACGTACCTTCACAATCTCTCCAGGAGCCCGACAGTCTCGATCATGGGAGAGTCCCACGGCGTCATAATTAAGAAAGATCCTGATAGGTTGTCTTTTGTCGACATCTGACTGTTCTAGCAATACACGCCCGTGTGTTTCATCCTCCAGTGGTTCGGCACTAGAGTCATAGACCTGGGGTGTGATTTTGTACTGATTCACCCCGGCCCGGCGCTGCTGTTCTAGGATTTTATCATGGATGCAAGAGTGAGTCTGTAGAGATTTGCTGGTAGATTTCCTATCACGCCAATGTGAATGACTATGTTCTTCAGCAGAAGTAAATATCCCAACCCATAGTAGTAGCACCAGAACCTGCAATCAAATCCGTTGACTTATTCAGGACAGATTCCTTTAGGATGCTAACAAACTCCGTAGCAAGGCAAAATCTGATGCTGTAAAAATTACCCAGTGCAGAATACGGAAGCAAATCATACGAGAAATCCGGCAGTGAGCACAGTGTTTCCTCACGCATCAAGGGAAGAAAGAGAAAGGGTGCACACCTCAAAGAAAATCGGCTGGAAAACTGAGCACTTTTGAGGCATTCCCGCCAATTCACGAAGTCACCTTCTGGTATTGAATGTAGGGCATGCAACCATTCTCTAAACGAAGCCGGCATCTAGGAGCACGTTACTCGGATGAAATGCATCGACTATACGCAGTGCACCTCAGAAACTACTCAATTGCACCAGTTCTGATATCCCCGATTTCCAAACACAACGACTAAACCGAGTGTCACCTTGCACTTGCTGCCAAAATCAGCAGCTGAATCCGGCAAATTCTTCGAACTGCCGACACTCCAAGCAGTCTTGACTCGGTGAGGCAAAACATTAGAATAGTTTTGACCGATGAATTGTGATCACTGGCTGTCAATCTTGAATAGCATGCAGCTGCCGCAGGAGATTAGCATTCACGTAAGATAATCCGCAAATGATTCACAAGTGCACCTTCGCTTAGAAACGACACCACAGCTGCTAATCTCGAAAATCCAACTCCTCATATTATCGCATTTTCTCATTCATTCAAAATTCCTCGTATTCTGCTCATTCTTCGTTGAAAATTGTGAATTTGATACCTGCTGCACTCAGAATCTGCAAATGCCGGGAGGCAAGACCAACGAATGTGGCTGGTGTCTATGTAACATTATGCCGAGGCCTCTGTACTATGCACATCTTGCGATTTCATAGGTCCCACGGCTGACAACAACCTTGTGCAAAGAATTTTTGCTGTGACAACCTGCAGCAACCAATCACCAAATCAGAGCGTATCCCTTACCGGACGTAAAAAATCATTCAATTCCCTAAACTGTCTTAATAAGTATTAAGCAAGCATGAAGCCATGATATCCACTGAGCAAAGGGAGAACTGCTGTATAATCCCTAAGCTCAAAGAACACGTCAACACCAAGAATTCTTCAAGACCATATCCCTAACACTAAGATCATATCTAATCACCTCATTCTTAAAGTATGAGGAAGGTGCGTAACCAGTCGAGCAACACAGCTACACTGGATAGTAGGTGTTAGAATTTCTCGAGGATGCAAGCACACCAAATCTTGCACGTAATGAAGATGAATGTAGCTAGCAAATTTCCTACTCAACCGTTGCAGTTCAAAAAATCAAAAAGTATATATACTGATGTGCTGCTGGTCAAAGATCAACGCTTATCTACTTCATTCACCAGTTGTTAATTGCATCAGAATTGGAATCCTATAACCTATGATTCAAAACTCCAGATGTTGCCCTAAACACCACCCATCGCTGAGCGACAAAAACGCAATACACTCGCTGACAATAGCTTCAAAAGATACGGCGCTTCTTCCAATTAACCCAAACAATGGGAATCACCCAACTGTACATCCAAGACCGTCAAGATGCTCATTCGCAATTTTGAATTCGTCGCTCTTCTTGCTGTGCTGAGACTGATAACACAACCCCTCCCATCAAAGCCTTCACGACACAACATACCCTCACTTTCAAACTCTCTTATTCAATTGCATGAAACCTTAGCAAATTTAGTTACATCTAATTTTCAAAGAATCTCTAACAATCTGAACGCCAAGTCCTGCAACCATGATTTATTCTTCTACAGGCACGAGCAAAAGAAACGTTCAAATCCAGCTCGAGCTTTAACATCACCATTAAGCGCTCTTTGATAAGCAAAAACTCTCTGACTAATCGTCCACTGAAAATGAGAGGCTGATGCTACGACTACACAAAGGATGTTTCTAGGACGATAACAAAAAAGAAGCAGTTCATCGAAGTTCTCTTGTAACGGTAACGCCAAAGCACGACACTGCTCAAAAGTGACTGTATAGAAACCCTCAAACGAACACGGAGGCTTACACTACTCTCCTATTTCGAAAGTAAGCGACTTTTGAAGGAAAGTGATCATTTTTGGATAACTGTCAGGTTCTATCATAAAATAAATATTCAAAAAATATATATATTTACATTTATATATATATAAATTCTGTTGAAGAGTCGGGAAGTGCTGAAATCACAGCACATTCACTGCTTGAAGTCATGCTCTCATAGGTCATCAAATTCTGGCAATACTTCGACAGAAACTCTGGTGACGACGCATCAAAATCAATCAACAATAAATCCATTACTTTGTAGCTCCTCGTCCGTGTCAGGAGATGGCAAATAAAAACCTACTTAACCTTTCTAACCCAGGTAATTGAAGACTGCCGCCTTCTCCAATCACTTAAGGTTCTTGACCTCTGTGACGTTGCCCAAGAATCCAACTAGTCAACATTCAAAAGTACCAAACCCGAGACCCGCTTGTACCCTCATCGCTTACCTAACTGCCTCGTAAGTGCAAGTCTCCGTCGCCTTCAGCTTAGGTGATATGCAAGACACGCTCTTCAACTCCAAGAATAGATACAGGCGTTATTCAACGCGAACACGGCTACTTATATTTTTACACATTTACAAACTTTACATATCTATGACAGAAGGTTGAAAGCATCAAGACTAGAAACCTCAAACAAGTCCTTCTTTGAACACGGAGGGCAGCCGATCAAGTGACAAGGCTAACGATGGCCGACTTTCACTCAAACACTTCAGAAAGATTTCTCCTGGGAAACATCCAACGAAACCGAAGCAGTTGGCCTCACGACGACTAACCTTCTTCTGCTTCTTCTTCTTCTCCTTCCCTCTCTCTCTCTCTCTCTCTCTCTCCCCTTCTCTTATTCTCTTCACTCTCCTCTCATGCAAATGTCTCAAATTAATCCATAAACTTGGCAACTATTCAAGCTCATCACTCCACGCCCGCCAATTCTGAACGAAACCGCCAACAACACAGTTGAAGGCACAGGCAAAACTACGGAGTCCGCGTTTACTCACTATCCCTCACCCTCAAGGACAATCAGCAGTCACTTTACCAGCCCCAATGTCTATCAAAATCGCCAAACTCCGGGGGGGGGGGGGGGGGGGGGGGGCGTACAGAACTCTCCGACGTCACTCGCGGACACACACTTTGAAAAGGGCCCTGCACTATCCCCTTTTCCGCATTCCCCCTAACGTGCAACCAGTTTCCACCCGCCCGAGCGCCGAAATTAACTCTTACTACCACCAACCACCTCCACCAGGAAGTGCCCCCCCCACTCACTCACTACTACTCCACCCGAACGATCAAACGTCGTCGCATCGCAACGAGATCCATTCACTCCGTCCAATTCGGTGCATTAAGAAATAAGAAGCTACGGCAGCAGGGGGGAATAGGATGCGGCATCGATGCACCTCGCGAAGCAAGTTGCGACCAACTGATCGATCTTTCTATCTATCTCTCTCCAATGCACCAACCAGCCGCCGGGACCCGCAACCGGCATGTGCGAAATCGAAGTGAAGGAGAAGAATGGCCCGCCCGCTGCAACCGGGGAAGGGAAAGGGAGGTAGGAGGATTGGATTTTGCACTGCACAGTGCGGCGGAGCACGGGAAAGGAGAGACGAAGGGAAAGGAAAAGAAAAGGAAGGAATGACGGGACGGCTCTGGTCCCGCACAGACCCTTCATACAAGTGCCATGCAAAGCTCTCTCTCTGCTGGAGCGGACTGAGTGTCGTGGCTCCCCCCACCCGGGATTTATGTGCCCTTTATTTTTCTTTCCGCTGGCTGGGGCTGATGTTCTTGACAGCCCTTCGCCTCTGCCCGCTCTGCCCCCCTTTGCCCATGGCGCTTTCCGCTCGCATGCTTCCTTTTACTTTTCTGTCTTTTCCTTTCTTGTCTTTTACTTTTAAGATCCGATTCGGAGCCCACTTTGGGACTGTGGGGGTCAAAGAAGGGCCATTCTCCTCTTTTTGGCTGCTGTGTTTCTCTTTCCCTTCTTACTTGAATTTCTTTTATGTTTTACTTCTTGTATTTTGCACTTGAGACACAATTTGTACTCTTTTCTCAGTTTCCTTTTTCTTTTTCTTTTTTTAACGTTGAAATTGAAAAGTATATTCAAGATGAGTTGTAAATAACATTTTCTTTTTACTTTTTACTTTTTTTCCTACATCAATGTATCACATTTTTATGTTTTTAAGTTCTGGGGTTTAAAAATATATATTGATAAGATGTGTTTTTAGTATGATATGTATAACTTTTTGAAATTAAGTGCAAAAATCCAGCTATGTCTATAAGCTTGAAAAGACACCAGATTGTTTTCTAACCTAATTAAACTCCATACTGTCAGCACTTTGTTATTTAATATTTATAAAAATTTAATGGCTTTTCTTAATCACCTAATATAGCTAAGGTATTGAAAATATATTTTATTACTATTTTTTAATATATTTTTACATAAATATAATTATCTCATTCCTCACAAAGAAGTAGAAATCACAAGTATAACAACTATAACACTTTTAACAACATCAATCAAATTATATGTTTTAGCACCCTTTTATATTTAGAACTTTACTTTAAAATACATATTTTACATATAGCATATGCATTAAATTTTACCCATCAGTGTTTATGCAGCTTGATGATGCTTTATCTCTAACAAATCATAAAAAAAGGCTCTACTAACCTAGCTTCTACATAATACTCAAGTCAATTTTAATGTTTAATTGTACTTAAATAGTTGAGTTTAAAGAATCCTATCTACATTTTTTAAAATAAATCTATTGTGTAGAGATCATAAAATTAATTTTAGCCAATAAATCTTCTTCTTACTCAAATAAGTGTAATCTAAAAAAGGCGGATAAAGTGACATATTTAACTCTCAATTAATGATCTTTAAATTTTTTAACTATTAATTTATTATATGGTATTTTTATTGAACATATTTGTATGCATAAAACCTACTAAATATCACATATTTTATAACTCACAGATATAAATTAAATTAAATTCTGAATAAAAAAATATGATACAACTTTATTCATACCATAGTAATAACATGTTTTTATGTATACTTCAATTAAGTAAATTCAATGCATATATATATATAATATAAAAAAATTATTTATAAATCCCTCAATACATATTTGAGCAAGTGCAATGCCAATACCATTTTATGATAAATTGCATATTTTTCCAAATATTACATGTCTTTTACTTTGAGGTGTTCATATTTGCTTCTGTTATCAAATTCACAAGCTCTAGTAGTAGCTGGATTATTAACTAAAATTTATCTTTATTGAATGATTTAGGTAATAATACATACATTGATAAATACCTTCTAAGTCCCAGTTCTAGTTCCAATTTCCACGCATTCTTTTTCATGAGTTATATTTTGTAGATGATTTTATAAACTATGGTAATAAAGTATTATTAATATTATATAAAATTCTTGATATCTCAAAATATTGGGAATCGTTCTTCAAAATTTGTACGTCATTGTATTAATAGAAGTGGAAAAAAATCACACTGCTCAATGATTTTGATGGAATTTTATATTCAGTAGGCTTTATGAAAGTTTTTATGAAATGATGTCACCAATTTTGTATTATTATTATTATTATATAGCTTTAAAAAATATTAACGTTATTATGTTTTTACCATGTATATTTATTCATGTAAGTGTCCTTTTCAAATCAATATCCACTATGTTTTTAATAAACTTTCTCTTAATATTATTAGATTTATTTTCTAATCCACTTATTTTGCATTGTCATTCGTATAAAATTTAGAGTGTTCTGACCATTCATTGCTTCTAATTGTTCTGGTTTTATTTATGTCCAAAACTTATTTCTACACAGTTTATCAATTTACTAGGATACATAGTTTTCAAAGTACTGAACGTTTTTTTAATGCCTAATATTACTAGTAGCACTTATTTATCTTAAATTTTTTAATGCCACACTACATCTCAGATAAGTTCAATCATTTTTTGAAAAAGTTTTGAGATTGTGTAAAATAAATACAAATTTTTAGTACTATATTTTCTAAAAGATACAAATTAAAATTATTTTTTATACATATAAATCAGAGCTATCTTAAAGACAAGTTTATTGCATAAAAAATTTAAAATATTATATATATATATATATATATATAGAAAATTTTCAGTACATAAGTGTTTTTCATTAAAAATACAGAATAAATCACATAATTATTATATATATATATGGAAATAATATTTTTTGTTTCAAATATCCTTATTAAGTATTTTTATTCATCATTATAATAACCAATGTAGATAGAGATAGATAGATTGGTATATACAAACTTTATTTTCTTTATTATATTTTTAATTATTTGAAGTAATCAATGTAATCATTTTTTTAACTTATTTACATTTATTTTTATTTTAAATATGCTCCACTTGCCTTTCACTGATTTTTAACAAAAAAATTGTTGTTCGATTGCATATATTAGTATCAAAATAATTTATTATAGTTTTTTGTATTGTTATTTTTTTCTTCTTCTTTTAGTTTCAAATACAATCAACACAAGTTAAAATTCAAAAACTTGCATTGGTATCAAGTATTTAAATCTTTACACAAACACCTTTAAAGCCTTAAGAATAATTAACTAATGTTGTATTATAATGCAGTATATATGATATTTGTATAAAACAATGCCATGTATAAAGTTATACTTTTAATATAATTATATTTAATATTGTCTTTAGTTTATATAATCAATTTGTAATTGGTGTAACATTTTTTGTTTCTTTATTTTTATTTCTTTTCCACAAAGATAATATATGAAATATAAATTCTCTCTTTGATATTTTTTTAAAATATTTCTTTGTCTTTAATCCTTTGTAATACACCTTAAAAGCTGCCAAATGTTTTATAGAGAAATATTGAAGTTTTTAAACTTATAACCATATTCCAGTTAATACATTTATGCTATATTTAACAACTAATAATCTCTAAAAATATATTATAACTAGTCTAAGAAACTAAAGAAACAATATATATATTTATATACAAATTCATTTTTATATCTAGGAAATTTTCGTATGTTGATTTATTTATTTACAAAGTATTTTAAAATTATTTTGTGGTAAAAAATGATCAAATTTCATTTTACAAATTCAGATCATGTAGATTTTTCTTATTCATACTCATAACATAATAGTCATTACTGTTTCAAGATATAGCCTTAGATTATGTTTAAAATTCATACACTTAAATTTCAAATCCAATATTTTTAATGATATTAAATCAAAAATAAAAAATAAAAATATATCCAAAACCAAAAAAACGAAAATGTGAAGGTTCTAAATTACTTTTAATTGTTTACCTCTGTAGCTAGTTACTCGTGTCCAATTTCTCTGATTTAACCCAAAAAAAAAAAAAAGGCAGTTTAAGACTCTGAACACACAAAGTATCAAAT